CGCGCAAACACACACACACACACACACACACACACACACACACACACACACACGCACCTTGCCAAGGCTGAATCAGCTCTGCAGATTGTGAACATCAGTTTCCCAGTTTTGCTGTTGTACTAAAGCCCTGTAAGATACACCACTGGGGAAGACAGGTGAAGGGTACCTGGCCCTGTCTGTCCCCTGCTTCTCCCCCCAACAATTATAGAATTGATTCAAAACAAAATGTTGAAAAAGTATAAATACAAAAATCAAGCTAAAGTCCTTGAAGTGGCTCACGCCAGGGACCAGGCCTGACCAGCTCTCTCTCTGGTCCCGCCTCTTGTAAAATCTCCAGCACCATCCAAAGAAACCAACAACAACAACAAAAATCCCAAGAGCCTACATTTTCAGGTGAGTGAGTCCTGAAATTTCTGATGTTTGGCTTTAAAAATTGAAAAAGCAGGGCCAGGGGTTTAGCTCAGTGGTTCTGGCGCCTGCTTCGAAAGCACAAGGACCCGAGTTCAATCTCTGGTACAAACAAGCAAACAAAAAACAAAAACAAAAAAATAATTGAAAAAATACCATGTAGGCTTAACAGAGGAATCCAGCCTCAGCCTTGCCGGGCTGACATTCTCTGAGATCCTGCCAGCTCTGACACGTCTGTCACAGACACGGCAACTGAGGCAGAAGGCAGGGACATGCCTCAGGCTAGGTCAGCGGTCAGGTCACTGGAGGCGGGTCACGGGAAGCTGAATCCGCCACAGGTGGGCAGTCCATGTGGGAAGGGGTTTCAGAGGCCCTCCCTGGCCCCTGCCCATCACTTCTGCCTTGCCTGCTTTCTCCCCAGGAATCCCAGCCATCCCCGGGACTCGAGGACCCAAGGGGCAGAAGGGAGAGCCCGGCACACCAGGCCATCCTGGGAAAAATGGGCCCATGGGAGCCCCTGGGATACCAGGAAACCCAGGGCCCAGGGGCCCCACAGGGGAGCCGGGTGAGGAGGGCAGATACAAGCAGAAGCACCAGTCCGTGTTCACGGTCACTCGGCAGACAGAGCATTTTCCGGCAGCCAACGGCCTGGTCAAGTTCAACTCGGTCATCACCAACCCACAGGGGGATTATGATACAGCCACAGGCAAGTTCACCTGCAAAGTGCCAGGCCTGTACTACTTCGTCTACTACACTTCACAGAAAGCCAACCTGTGCGTGCAGCTGTTCCACAGCGGTGTCAGGGTGACCACCTTCTGCAACCACATGCCCAGTAATAGCAAGCCAGACAGCAAGCAAGTCAGCTCGGGTGGCGTGCTCCTGCACCTGAAGCAGGGCAAGCAGGTGTGGCTGGCTGTCAACGACTACAACGGCATGGTGGGCACTGCAGGCTCCGACAGCGTCTTCTCAGGCTTCCTGCTCTTCCCTGACTAGGGCGGGCAGCCAGCTGCAGCCCCAGGGCCAAGCCACCTGCTCCGGCTTTCTGCACCCTCTCTCAGCCCCTCTCCCCACCCGATAGGCTCCTCCTCCAGGACGCCCACCCTGACTTCCTGTCCCTCAAGTCCTCTCCCTCCTCTGCGCTCTCTTGGGAGTCACTGCTGCACCGTCCCTTTGACCCTTAATCAATAGGTTTTTGGGACTCCAGTCTGGGAAGAGGCGGAGATATATGAATAAATAATTAGCTCAATAAATTTTCACGGCCCAGATTCCTCACTGCCGATGCCTTGAATTCGGCATGTTCAGCTCTGAATCTGCTGCGGTTGTCTGTTGCTGTGGACTCTGGCTGTCTAGGGGGTGCTCAGGGCATCTGGCCTACTGGAGAGAGGTGTTCGGAGGGGTGGCGGTGCTCCAGAGGTCCCCAAGGGGGTAGTTAAGGTGCCTGGACTCACAGGTAGAAGGGAGTGGGCTTGAATTCCCAAAGGTGGGTGGGATTTCTGGAGCACTTAGGCTCAGCAAGCCCAGCACACGCAAAGTGAAGTGTAATGAGTTGGTGCTGAATGAATAAATGTTTGCTTAAGCAGGTAAATGAATGCTTAAATGCAGAGTTAAAAGAAGTGAGTTTAAAATTGACGGTACTTAACACTTACTGAGCACCTACTATGCACTGGCACTGCGCCAAGTACTTCCACACATTAACTCCTTCACACCTTCAGATCAGCTCTGCGATGGGTCTGAGTGGGTGAGCGAGAGGACCCCCATGTCCGGCTCACCTGAATAACTAGCAGATAAGATGTCATCCGTAGCTGCCCTCGCCCACAAGGCACCGGGTTGCCTGTGAGGTGAGTGAGGTGGGGCCCAGCCGCCCTTCCTTGAGGGCCTGAGAAGTCAAGAGTGTAACCGTCCTGGGCAGTGTCAGGTCCAGCCCTGCAGCATTGGGCAGTGCTAGGGAGCATCCCAACCTGGTGCTCGGGGTCCACGGAGCTCAGCAAAGCCCTGCTGAGAAGGGGCCACAAAAGCCATGGCTCGCATGCGCCCTGCCATCACCTGTGCTTACCTCTGCTCTGCAGAGGCTGTTTCACACCTCCACGCCTTCCTCCAGGCCACCCCGTCACTCTGTGGAGCCCCAGCCGGCGGGCACATCCCACCTGGTTGTCGCCCCTCACCATCAGGTGCTTCACAAAGACACCTCCTCTGGGAAGCCTCCCTCGATTTCCCCCGGGGCCCCCCCAGCATCCTCTGCAGACTTGAACCACGCATGCCTGACTCTTTACAGCCCAGGGTGGGTGGTGAAGAAAATGAACCGATAGACTTATTCAAAACAAAACAAATGAACAAAGTCAGATCTGCAGGTCCAGTGCCATAATAAAACAATCTGGGGGAGACAGGGCAGGGAAGGACTGCAGGGGAGTCCAGTGCCCCTGGGCCACTGACTGGCTTTTGTGCCTCCCTATGGGGCTGTGAGCATGGCTGAGTGCTGCTCCTTTGCTGCATGCCCAGCACAAGTAGGACCTCAAGACATGTGTTAGATGGAAGGAGACACACACACGTGCGCACAGAGGACTGGGGCAGGGCCCCCGAAACCCGGACTAGTTCGCCATGCCCAGGCACCTCCGCAGAGCCAGGCCCAGGTCACCAGCCACCGCATGCACGCTGTCCCCCCATTAACCACTTAGCGGTACACCAGGCAACACTGCAAGTGATACATCTTTTTTTCTCATTTCTCTTTTGTTTAAAAAAATCAATATGCTATTTATGTAGGCCACGGTGTCAGAACAGAAACCCATGCTTTGGAAACAACAAGCGTGTGCCATTTTTACTTTCCATAATTGTTTCCTGTTGTTCTCTCGGTGTGGGGAGAGAGCCTCAGAAAATGCGTACTAGGGGAGTCGGGCGGGGTGGTCCAGATGGGGCAGGAGGCAGAAGAGACACCCGCGCTGTGGGCAGGTGAGGGCTTTGGAGGTTCATTTTTACTCTTTCAGGGTTCTCCCCTCTCTATCAGGGTGGGAGTCAGCAGTTTTATGGGTACAGAGGCCAGCAGGGTCCTGCACAGGGGTCAAGGCTCAGAGATCCTGGGCTCCTGATCCCCAATCCTAGACCCCCCGCTCTGGGAAGGGCCCCTTCACTTCTGGGCTGCATGCATCCAGTCTGCTGCCTCCACGTATGCACTGGGAGCTTACGGAGGGCTGGGCACTCAGTAGTGTCTGGCCAAGTGGGGTCCCCTCACCGCTCTCTGCAGCAGCCCCAGAAGGTCAGTACCCATGCCCAAACTGGATCGAGGAAACTGAGGTCAGCACATGGGCCTGAGGCAGAGCCTCTCTTGAACATAGCAGTGGTTGAGTCCAAAGCCCAAGCTCTTACCTCCCTGCTCTATTGATTCCTTTTCATTTTTCCTTTTTAAAAAAATTTTTTTTTTAATTTTGTGAGACAGGGTCTTGCTATGTAGTTCAGCCTGGCCTTGAACTCACTATGCAGCCCAGGCTGGCCTAAAACTCAGGGCGCTCCTCCTGCCTCAGCCTCCCCAGTGCTGAGGTTACAGGTGTGTGCCACCATGCCCAGCACTGCTGATTTCTTTTCTCAGTCTTGCTGCATCTACCCCTTTGCCATCAGCCAGGAGGAATTAGAGGTCGGGGAGCAGGGGTTTTGGACCCTCCACCATGGATGCCTCGATCCGCAAATTCTCAACTCCTCTACTGCATTTTGAACTCACTGCCAGCTCCTCCTCAGCCCAGCCTGCTCCCTCTAGTTCTGTAGCTGCCGAGCCCTGAGACCTTTGGGCTGTGTTACCTCATCTTTTCCTTCCTGTCACCCACTGCTGTTCATGCTTAGTTTCCACCCACTGATGCCCCGTGACTGATTGCCTTCTCCCAACACAGAGGCCTCCTCCAGCCCCTGCCCTTGCTGCCTGAGCCCCTGGCACATGGCCTTGGACACAGTCGTACCCTGAGGCCCAGGCTGCCTGGCTGCAAGTCCTGCACCGCCCCCCCCCCCGGGGGGGCTGTGCTCTGGAAATCACTGCTTCTCTGTGACATTTATCACAGGAGCAAACGCCTTGTGTCATTCAATGCTTGACCCCAGTCTTCCCCACGGGCAGGCTCTGCGGGGGAAGAAACCACAGCTGGCTGGGGCAGGGCTCACTCTCCAGCGCCTGCACGCAGAGGCTCAGCCCTGGAGGCCTCAGTTTCCTTGCACATAAAATGAGGGCTGGGCCGTGCCTCGTTCCAGCCCTAACGTGGTATCATTTTAGGATCAACAGGCAGCAGGCCCCCTGCCTGTGACCATTGTCTTCACGGCTTCGTGTCTTTTTGGAAGTGGAGGGAGGGGCATAAATAAAGAATAAGCACATTTAGAGTGCATCATTAGATTATTTTCAGAGAACAGGGAAGGAGCAGAGGTGCAGAACATGAAGGAGCGGAAGAGGAGAACCCAGGAAGAGGAAGCTTGGGACATAAAGTGACAGCAACCATTTCACTCCGCATGGTGCCTTACAGCTTATTCTATGGACCCTTTCTCCTCCTTATCCTCCCAGTGGCCTGGGGGATTGCGGAGCGGGTCCAGTTATGAACTCATCAGAGAGTGGAGAATTGGGCTCCCTTGAGCTTCTTGGATGAGAACACGCAGCGGTAAGTGGCAGAGCCGGAGTATGGATCAGGGTCTCTGACTCTAAACCTTGCGCTCGGGCACCACGCTGGCTACTGTGTCACCTCTGAGGACCACGCTGCCCCATGGGAGGTCACGAGCTCAGAGGGCCTGGTGGGCGAGCAGCCAGCCACGGACATCCTGTTCCCCTCACAGCTGCTAAGTCAGCAAAACAAAACTGGCCACCCGCCACCCCCTTTACTGTAACTCCTGCCCCGGGGGCAGAAACAGGACCTGAAACTGCCTGAAGACAGCAGGATGGGGGCAGTAATAGGGTGAGGGGAGGGGATCCTGCCTGCTGGATCCGCAGGAGGGCCCGTCAGGGGAAAGCCCTTCCCTCCTCTGGGGGAAGGAACTTCCAGCGCAGACTGGTAAGCAGCAGCTCCTGGCCCCTGCCCCACTGCTGCCAGGTCCAAGGCATCACAGGACACCAGGCCCCAGGTGAGTTGCGGTGGAAGATGGTGATTCCCAGTGGGAATCTTAACTGCACTCCCAGGCCTGAGGAGTCAGGCTTTCTGGGAGTGCGCTGGGGAGTCTGGGGCTACCCAGGGCCCAGAGGGTGTGGGTTCAGCCCACAGTGGGAACCTCCAGCATCAGGGCCTCCAGGTCACAGAAACAGCACCTGGTCTGCCTTCTGCTTCTTGCATGCTGGTCATCTCTGGCAAGACATCTGGCCTCTCTGAGGCCTTGGCTCCGTTCTGGGAAGAATGGTGCTTTTGGGGGTGCAGTTCCTGGCTCCAAATGGGCCTGGAGCAGAGGCAGAGGTGGGATGGGTACCCAGGTCCCCTCTACCCAGCCCAGCATCCCGCTTCTCTCTTTTCCTTGCTATCTGCTGAGAAAGCCCAGCTCTGCTCTTTCAGCAAATTGCTTGATCTGCACGTGGGGTTGGGATTAGTTATTAGTCCTGCCTGAGCACAGGAATATTTGTTGGAGGCAGGGGAAGTGCTACCTGAAGGACTTTATTCCTTCCAGCACTATCTCATTTAATCCTCCTAAGACCCTGGTCGTAGAAATGAGCTGCACCACAGAGGGTCCAAGAGGTTAAGGTCATGCAGCCAGAGAGCAGCAAATGGGGAGTTCAGGGTCAAGTTGGCCAGGTTCCAAGCTGGGGACAGGGACTGGTAGGATTGGAAAGAGATGGGCAGGGTGGAGACATGGGCTGCTGAGAACAGGTTGTCCAACCAGGTGAGTTTTCAGTGCTTGCCCAGGTATGAGGCCCAGCGACCCTGGGCTGGAGAGGGCAATCTTCCTTCCCGCCCCCTTTCTTCTTTTCCAAGAAGCCTGAAACGGATCAGGGCCCTGTCCGTGCCCCCTGCCCCGCCCCCAGCTGGAAGGAGGCCTCCATCCCTGGCTACCCCTGCTGGAGACAGCCCAGCTCCCCAAGGGACCAGACCCCCTTCCTCCTCTCCCATCCCCTTCCTTCCTGCTGCAAAACTCAGCCATTCTTGGATGAATGGGGTGATAATAAAATCGTGAATATTCCTTAATCTTTTCCAACACACCGGCCTCTGCTGTAAGCGTTAACTGATCTGTCCTTGCACCAACTCCACAAGGGTGAAATGAGCGTCACCTCCGTTTTACAAAGGGTAAGCTGTGGCCCAGGCTGTTGGCTGAGAAGCAGCAGAGGCCGATTTGAACCCTGGCAGTGCTGCTTTCCACATGACAGCTCTCTCACCGCTCAGTGATTGGTTTTGTTTTTTGTTTTGGGGGTTTTTTTTTTGGTACCGGGGATCAAACTCAGGACCTTGCGCTTGCAAAGCAGTTGGCAGAACCACTGACCTAAATCCCCGGCCCTAACTCAGTGACTGTTTTGCAGCCTAGCAAGCTTCCCTGGTTCTGATGTGTGCCAGCACCTCTCTTAGTATATAACCCATGCAATCATCCTTCTGTCAGAGTGTCTGGTCGCAAAGCCCATTCCTGAACTGTCAGGAACAGCGGCCTCTTCACACTCAATATCATGATCCAGTGGATGTGGGTTGAATCCCAGACACATGGAAGCTGTGTGACTTGTATCAGGTCCTTGCCCTTTCTGATCCCCAGTTTCCTCATCGGTAAATGAGAAAGCAAGAGTACTTCTCAAACAGCTGTTGTGAGAATCAAATTAAATGAGATAATGGTGCTTAAAGCCTTTGGCCCAGAGCCTGGCCCCTGCCAAGCACCCAACTTATTAAAGCTGCTAAACTGTCATTTTGTGGAACCTCCAGCGAGAGTGAGAACGGATGCTTACTCAGAGATCAGCAGGGTCAGCCGGAGACAGCCGCTCTCTGGAGCGCGGCAGTGCCTAAGCTGTCGCGCTCGTCTTCCCAGCTGCCCGTCCACAGTGCCCATGCAGGAGGGGTCTGAGCAACAAGGGATTAGCATTTGACTAACGGAGCCCAGGAGCCAGGTGCCGGCAGGGTTTCTGCTCCCGGGAGCTCAGCACAGTCAGCAGAGGTCCTGGTCCCAGCCCCTTCTTCACCTGCAGGAAGGGCAAAGCATCACAGAACACTTCTGGGTGTGGCGGCAACAGGAGCCGCTGCGACAGTTCGGGGCCCCAGGACTCCCTTCCACACTCCCACCCGGATCCCCAGAGTTACTGGGGCGGGCAGAGCCCACTCGGACTCCTATTTTAGGAACAGAAAACAGCTGGGCCAAGCAGGAGGCTTCCTACCGGAAAAGGCTCTGACAACGAGGCTTGAAAGATGGGAGAACTAGGAATCTGGGCGAAGGAGAAATAGGCTGCCTGACAGGTACCAAACACTGCGAGCCATGGGTGAAAGAGCCTTTGCTGAGACTAGCCTGAAGATCGTTTAAAAAAGAGTTAAACACAGAATGACATAAGACTGATCATTCTACTTCAAGATGTATACCCTAAGAATTAAGAACAGGAGCTCAAATCCTTGGTCGGGAATGGACATCACAGCACTACCCAGGACAGCTGAGATGTGGGAACTCCCCAAATGTTCAGCAATAAAGGAAGGATGAACACCCACAGTCCACCCACACAATTGATTTTCTTTCTTTCTTTTTTTTTTTTTTTTTTTTTTTTT